GATTTCTGCATTACTGTAATTATTATGTAGATGATGAAGACACGATCGATACTCAGAATCCCTTGAGGACTGACGATGGCGGAGGATCACAAATTACCAGCGTTTCTCCTAAAGGCGCAGACACGATTGGGTGATGCAGTCAAGGATCGTGGTGTGCAGATCAGCGGGGGTTTAGGAACAGATAGGGAAATAGCTTTGAGCGAGCTCTTTGTCAATCTTACTCTGCTGACGAAGGATGAAGTAGAAAAACTTTTCAAGAGCGAGTCGTTCTTTTCCTCCGAATCTGAGAGAGCACGCCAGCTAGATGCTATCAGAGCAGCTCAGGATGGAAAGTCCGCAAAGACACGTGGCATTGAGCTTAGCGAGATCTTCTCTGACACTTGTAGCGATAGTGCAAAGGACCAAGCAGGTGCCAGAGCAGTAGTTGATGCGGAATGTGGACTTCTGTCACAGTCTCGTGCAGCTAGCAATGTGTCCATTGGAGTGAAAAAGAATAACGTGCTTGCGTTTGGCAGTGCGGGCAGTGGCAAATCTACAATCTTCCTTCTAATGCTGGAATACCTGTGGGCTATAGATTCGCTGTTGAAGGAGAAGATTGATCTTGTCTTGGCTGTTGAGTTACGACGTGCTGAGGTGCGATCTGCAACTAACCTGTGTGAGTTGCTGGCTGCTCGATTCGACAGGTTGGATATGGAACAAGATGAGCTGGAGGAGATAGCTCGTTACTTTCGCCGTCATCCGTCACATCTCTGTGTTGTACTTGACGGCATGGATGAATGCAGCCTGCAGAAATGTAGCCCTTACATGCAAGACATGCTGTTGAGGGAACGCAGTGTTGATATGCATGTGGTGGTGACATCTCGACCATGCGCCGATGCGTACAAGTTAAGCCAATGTGGAAAGTACCATCAACAACTGGAGGTTATCGGATTCTCACAAGAGAACGTGAAGACGTACGTGAGAAAAGTGGTGGGCGGAAAACAAGCGGAGGAGATGCTGGAGAAGCTGCATGCACAGCCGGACATGCTAGCATTGATGGGAACTCCATTATTTGCTGCTCTGGCATGTGAGCTGTACCACAGCGGACGTGGCTTGGCGAAATCGAGCACAGCGTTGTACGAGTCGCTACTTCTACGCGTCTTGGAGCGGAATGCAGGCAAATTGCACAAGTCGTTTGCCGAGACGGATGCACGGGAGATGAAGTTGCTGTACGAGGTCTCCCGCTTTGCACTTGCAATGTTGTCGGTGCAAAAGGCCGTGTTCAGCGAGTCGGAAGTGAAAGGCGCCGGTCTAAGTGATGCCGCTCTTCAGCTTGGACTCCTGATAGCTTACAAAGACGGCACCTCGACTGAGAACCGACAGTACCGCTTCGCTCACCTGTCCCTACAGGAGTTCATGTCGGCATGGTATCTGTCACGCGAAGTGCTGAAGGACGAGCATGACGCGGCATGGCTGGTGAAGAGAGTCGGTCATTACAGTGGTCACATGACAATGTTCTGGCGCTTCGTCATTACACTGTTACCGCGCAAGCCCTCGTTCGTCGTCATGGAGCATCTCTGGCGGCTAATCTGTGAGAAGCGTACATCGTCAACATCGGACACTGCCGACTCTCGTCTCGTGGCTGACATTGTCAGCTACTCCCATCTCAAGTCTGCACGTCCGGGTCTTGAAAGGATTCAATCCATACTTTGTGCAACGCTAACGTATGAGAAAATGAAAGAACTGGCCTACAAGCTGCTGGACAAGACGTGCGGTGAGGGCAACGGCTGCCAACGTGTCGAGAGCGCTTTGCCACGGGGGAGAGAGTTGACGGATGAACTATTTCTGTCAACTCTCATCGACGTGTGGAAGAAGGAGGCAGTTGATCCCAACACGGAAGTATTCCTCACTGCTGTGCGCAACATCAATCCCGTCGCGGCATTACAATGCGAGCGTGTGATGCGTCCGAGCACCAAGACACCGGTCCCATCATCCACCGAGGACGCTACTGCTACTGCTATGCCTGCAGTTCGTCCAGCGGAGTCGATCGAGGAACGGCGCTATCTGGTTCATCTTCTGGTGGCTCATCATGAACACTGCCAGTATCAAGGTGCGTCCTGTGATGGTCATTGTTCATTCTTTTCACAAGTGCTCCACAAAGGCATTAGCTTTTCCGAAGTACGCCTATCCCTTTTTGATTGTGTATCTATTGGGCACTTTCTCAGCACACATTATTGCTTTGATAGCAGTACCATTGATTTCTCTGGCTCTGGCTGTGGGAATGCTGGTCTCCGACGCGTTGCTGCTGGTCTGTCGCAATGCAAGGGTGTACGCACGCTAGATCTTGCCTACAATGCATGTGACGATGGCAGTATACTGTCGTCCATCATTCAGTCTTTGTCTGGCAGTCTAGTGTATGTCGATGTGAGTGGTAATCGTGTAGGTAGTGATGGTGTTGTATCAGTGTGTAAAGCATTGTCTTCTTGTTCTAAGCTGGGTTTAGCCGATGTGTCCTACCCAGCCACTCCCCATGACCGTTATGGTGATGTCTCACTGTCATGTGTTAGTGAAGTTGTTGAGTCATGCCCTAACCTGTGTACGCTGATTGCATGGGGGCGTGGTTTCCAGTATGATGATGATTGTTTGGAAAGGTTTGTGAGAGCTGTTCAGTCTCATGCTGTGTTGGGTACACTATTGGTTACACGTCTTTCTGAGAATGCCATTTTGGTGTCCCGGCTTGAGCAGCTTGTCCTTGACCCTACCTGTACCCTGTCCTCACTTGGGTGATGGTGATGACTGTGTTAGTAGTTTGTGTACATTATGTGAGTGTGTAGATGATTAGTTTCCTGATTCGTCTCTTGAGCACAGACCAGCAGCAGCAGCAGCAGCAGCAAAGCCTAGACCAGTTCTTTTTTTCTACCTATCTAATGTACATAGAGAAGACACTACTGTCGTCAAACTGGAATTTTCATTTTTCTATTGATTGAAATAATTTCCATGTCTATACCCCACTCTCGTAGTACAACCACTGTAGAGAATACATTGCATTTTTTCTTAGTAGCTCTGCTTATAACAATCTCTTTTCCCCCGAGTGTGTGTTTCTTTCTTGAGTATTTTTGCTGTTCATGAACTCGTGTCTGGCTGACTAATCACGGCCAAGTTGTAATATTATAATGTACAAATGTAATGCGAGCCCCAGGTCGAATCTCCTGATGATCAAATGTGCTGAGATCGTCTTTGGTATTGTGCGATACCGGACTGTGTGTGCGTGTGTGGGCACATGGGCGAGCGTGTCTGTTGGGTTCGGGTGGGGTGTGTGTGTGTTTGTGTGTGTGTGTTTGTGTCCGCTGCTTTTGGACTGCGCAAGGCCGCGGTCGTCACCGGTGCTCGAGGACTGGTCCCCGCCCGACTACCCTGCAGTGTAATTCGTTCCCTCATGTATGCGTGTGTTCTCGCCGGTTCCGTTTGCGCCACCATCTCCGGCGTAATCAGGCTGCGTGCTCCATCTTCCTCTCTGATGCCCCTCTGGGGCCCACGTGACCCCTGTGGCAGTAGCTCTACTGGACAGGACAGGTGTGTGTGTGTTCGTGGGGGGGGGGGGGGGGGGGTGCGTGCATGTGTGTGGCAGCTAGTTCGGTTGGTGGGTACGCTTCTGCCAGATGGTGTTGGGTCTGTTGCCAACGGGCTTGGCTGCTTGAAGGTGTAATGTTGTACCTGCCACCTTTGTTGGTTTCATGGTTCATATACTTTCTATTTGAAGTATACATACCTGTTAACCATGGAAAACCTCTGGCTAAATTAACTCTTGTGTAATCAATGGTCCTAGTGAAGCTTATATCAGATCCACTCTGATTTAGTCAC